ATAAAATAAAATAAAATAAAATAAAATAAAATAAAATAAAATAAAATAAAATAAAATATCTGTATTTGAGCACATTCAGTAAAAAGGAGCCCAGCCCCACTCTGTCAATTGGTACCAGTGTCAAATTGCTCTTCTCATTTATTCAGAATTTGCCTTCCTGTAACTTAAATCCATTTTTCTTGTTCTTTGGAGAGAGAAAGAACAGGTCTTGACCTTCTTCTATGTAATACCCTTTCACCTATCTGAAGTGTTACTCCTTAGTCTTCTCTTCTCAGGGCCAAACTCTGCCTGCTCCTTTGATCTCTCTTAAGTTTCTAGTGCCCTGCCTCATCAAGGTTCAACCTTCTCTAAATCTTTCTTCAAGTGTGGTGCTCAGAGCTGGACACAGGACTTACAATATGGTCTGAGCAACCTGGACAGAGTAGGACAAAATCTACCTCCGAACTGTTTTTATCCAAACTTGAACTCAAACTCCGCCTAGTTCATGTGATGACTCTCCATGTATTCCATCATTTTTCCATTCTGTCATGTTACACATTCCAATTCCACCAGGCTTGTGGGGACAGGGGGAGCACACAATTCTGGACTGCAAGCTAAAGATCGTGGAACTCTTGCCCCAGTTCACTTGGATCCAGCTCCATAATTCAGAACACGGTGGTTTAATGGTTTAATCCAAAAGGAGAAACGTTGAGCAAATGGACCTGTGAGACTATTAAACACTAGCAACCTGTGCTCCTCCAAGATAAATTTAGCCCAGGTTCACAAATTGCCCCCGTTAACAAATTCAGTTGCGGTGCTCACACAGCACACTATGCCCAATGGAAGAAACCACATTAAGGATTAACATGCTGAGTTTTCCACAACACGCTGAAGCACAAGCAATCCATTCCCTTCTGAGCCTACAGTTACATGCTGGGCAGACTCAGCCACCATGTGCCATCCAGAGAGGTATTTTTAAGCATGTGTTTATTTATTTAGACATCAGTAAGGCTGCCCAACTCTGCGACAACTCCACAGGGGAT